CGTTGGCGGGTGTGGCGGGTGTGGCGGGGGCGGCGGGTGTGGAGGGAGTGTCCTCCTCCTCCTCGGAGGAACTGTCGTCACTGCTGTCAAATGTATCCACTGAAACGTGTTAATGTTTTTCACACTATGTATGTATGCTGTTTTAAAATTTACTGAGGTTAAAATTGTTACCAGATGTGCGACGGCGCCTGCCGGCAGGTGGGACGACGGGTTGGGCGCCGGACAGGGCGCCGGGTTGGGCGCCGGGTTGGGCGCCGGGTTGGGCGCCAGGCAGGGCGGCGTCGTCCGTGCGGGCCGCGCTCGCTGGAAATTGAGTAGTACATAAAATTTAAATAGCAGTGAGCGTAAACTGGAAACAGTTCGAGCGTTCACCGCCCGATATTTTTTCAATCCTTTATAACTTTCGTAGACACTCCTAGGTGTGCCCACTTTATGTAAAAAAATATAAGTAAAAATAATAAAGGTTTGAGTAGTGGCTACCGTGTTCCGGGGACGGTGCCGTGGTCTCGGCGGGTGGCGCGGCGGCTGGCGCGGCGTAGGGGCGCATGAGGCGGGCGCAGCGCGGCCAGCGACGCGCCAGCACCAGGGCCGCGAACGCGACGTAGAAGGCCAGGAAGAGCGCCGCCGTGACAGCGATGGCCGTCGCGTACTGCGCCCGCGTCAGCGCCGCCTGCCCGCGTGCACACAACACGACTACTACTACACTACACGGCTACCGGCTACCGGATACTCGCATACCTTGCACACTTTCTATGTACAAAGTATTCATAAATAGCTACAAAGATAATGTAATAATAGAATAAGTCGAAATCATCGGTTCGTTTAGTGCGCTTGTGACATTGAATTTTATGAAAAACATCTCGGAAAAATAAAAAAACGAATACCTCAATGGTGATGGTGAAATCCTTCGTCCTGGCGGTCGAGGGCGCGGCGTGCGACTCGGCGCCCAGCACGGCGCCCGCCCACAGCCAGTCGGCGGGCTCGGTCTCCGCGCCGCCGCACGCCGTCTGCGTCGGCTGCACGAGCACCACCACCACGAACCCCCGCGGGAACTGCCGCCGCTGCAACATCCACCATTGCTCACACGTAAATAACCGAAACCATATTATATATATCATAAGACATAGATAGAATATGAAAGGAAGAAAAGTTTACCTTTCGGAGGTAATAATAAAACAAAGTGTAACAAAAGTGAAAATGTTGTGAGGTGGTGTAGGTGTGAGGTGTGGGCGCTCACCGACAGCTGCACGGCGGCGGAGCGCTGCATGGTCATGCGCAGGCCAGTCGCGCCGATGTCCGCCAGCGACTGTGCGATCGGGCACTGCGGTACAAACACACCGTTACCTGGCGCTCCTCGACTCTGTCCGCACACCTCCCCCCCCCTCCCCCCGCACTCACCGAGTACTCCTGCACGGACACGGACACGCACACGTCGTCTTCGGAGCGCAGTTCGAGCCGCACGCTGTGTTGTGCCTCCTCGAACTGATAGTACACCACCTGCGGCGCAGTCTGCACGGACACGTCGCGTTAGCGATATCTGATTGTTATGTGTGTACAGTGAGCGGGGATGTGCACGTTTCATACCAGCGAGGCTGCCAGCGCGACCGGCTCCGAGAAGGGCAGGCGCCAGCGCGGCGGCAGACCCACCTCCACCTGTACGACCAGCTGCGCGCCGCAAGACGACGACACGTGCAGCGAGAGCCCGCGCGCCGCGCCCTCGCCCTCCGCCTCGCCCTCTGCCTCGTCCTCCGCCTCGCCCTCTGCCTCGCCCTCTGCATCGCGACAAGATACGCAATACGCACGGCACTTTGTCGCAAGCGACTTTAATCAGTTACTTGAACTGATTTTAACCCACAGGTATGAATATAAAATACAAATATTTATAAGGGAAAAGAGAATTAAGTGGGAGAAGGCGGCGTACCGGCGATGCCGCAGCTGGAATCGTCGGGCGCGCGCGCCGTGTCCGCGGGGCACAGCGTGCGCTGCAGCCGGAGCGGCGCCGCGCCCGCGCCGCCCGCACCGCCCGCATCGCCCGCACCGCCCACCTCGTACGGCAGCTGCCACGTTGTCACGCCTAGGTTGAAGTATTTGGTATCGTTCCACTGGTATACTTGGTCTCGCAGTATCATAGGAGTAAAGTCCGAGCTTATTGGTTTTTAAAACAATCTCCTAGTTAATAAACATCCTTAATAATATTAAAATTAATTACTATATAAAAACTAATAAAGTCCGGAATCGATAAAGCCGTTTAGGCTCCAGTTTACTGAGTAGTGGTTACCGGCAGGCTGGCGCGCGGTGACCAGCACGGGGTGAGCGGCGTCCCCGCCGGAGCTGGCGACGCGCACCACACCCGGCCGCGCCTCGCCCTCTGCACTCTGACACACACTTGTACATACAATATATCTCCTATTTATGAAATAACCTGGCTGAAGAGAGAGCAGGTTAAGGATCTACTAATATAAATATAATTTGTGTTTTTATACTTAATAATTTTTATAAGGAACTAGCGAACACGGCCCGGCTCGAACCCGTATGGACGTTTACATGACACGTGTGAACGGTTTAGAGAGGTGGAGAGCCGCGCCGTGCAGCCGCAGCGCGAGACCGACTCACCGGAGTCGGCGGGAACTCCAGGATGTACTCGAGCGTGCTGTTTAGCGGCAGCTCGTACTGCTTGTCGTACTGCGCCCTGCAACACCCGCGCCCGCCCTTATCTCCATACATATACATGCATACCATCGCCCTCCACCACTACCTCCCGTTGCTCGTCGAAATCACATAATAGTATTATAGGTAACATAAAACAAACAGCATTCATCCGGAACAGCTGGACCGTTTTTGGCGAGAATGGCCGATGCATATGGGAATGTTATAGGCTACTTAATTCTTTAATCCAGCGCTCACGATGTCGCGGGCGACCGCTAGTTTGGTAAAATATTATTGTTGGAACATGTATTATTTTTCGTTCGATGACTACAGGAGCTCGTCTGTTTGGCAGTTCTCGACTTAACTCAAACTTATCTGTTCCGTTCTGTGTGCTCCGAGCGCAGTCCTCATTAATGTGATAACTTTTTTACCTAAAACATAAATATATGAGACTATCTGTGATGTCGCCGAGGCGCAGTAAGCGCTTAGTTCGTGGCCCGGAGACTTACCTGAGCTGCACGACGGAGACGCCGGTCGCCGCCGCGAGCGTCGCAACCGTCGCCAGCGTCGCCAGCGCCGCACTCGCGCACCGCATCGCCCGCGCGCACATCTTTGCCACTAACAAACTTCTTAAATAACACTTTAATATTTATCCATCGCAATCGTATCACGGAAGGAGCTCGATTCGCCAAACTCACGATCCGAAGGCCGGCGACTCGAAAGCGATAACCTCCGGCCGTTTATTTCATAGTACTGAGTGATTGAGTGATTTTCTGTAAACAAGGAGGAATTCGATCGAGTTTTATCTCGCGTATTAGAGTGAACACCGAGCGAGCGCCCGGCGGCCGCCGCTTATCGCCGCTATCGGGGCTCATCGATAAGCGGCGGGCCCGGCGGCTCGCAGCTGGCCGACCAGCGGTCGCGCGCCCCGAATTCGTCATCGCGCCCGCCCGATACCGATAACGAACTTTGATTCTGGACGTTTCGGACTTATCGCGGCTCGCGGCAGGTTGCATCTACACAGTCGTCGGCTGAACTACTAAACTTGTCCCATTACGATAGTCTTCTATAACCAAATCTGAGAAAAACATCAAACGTTCAGCAGTTTGACCAGAAGTTTGATCGCGCACAGGTCGGTTCGGTGGTATCACACAATATTGTCAAACCGACAACAATTGCAAACCTTTAATGTAATAAATTTCATTTACAACAGTGGCAGAGCTCGCTTTAACATCTTCGCACTAATTGTCCCGGCTCGCCCGGTGAAATACCACGAACATACAGAAGACACGCCTCCAGTGGAAGCTATTCCGCGTTTCGTCTGATGAGTGTGCGTCCCGGAGGCCTAATTTAGTACTCTTTCCCTTCCCACCCCTTTTTTATAAGGAAAGGATGGGAAGTGGAAGTGGACTTTCCGGATGAGAGGATGCATGGAAAGGGAGTATATGTTCTTTCTGTGCATCCTATCCTCCGTCGATTAAAGGTAGGCAACGCATATGCACTTGCGTATGTCTATGGGCAACGGTCACTTCGCTATTTCAGCGATTTCAGGTGGCCGCTCGCTCGTTTGCCATCTTATGATATAAAAAAATACCATATCCACTTATTTATTATCAAATCCCATCGTTTATATATTTAAGGTTATTACACTAAGAGTTATTACTTTCATGGTAATGACTTTTTTAATATGGAATAAAGTATTTGGATATACAGTTTTTGTGAATCCTGGATGTCCATGTTATATGTAGCAATAAGCTAGAGGTAGGAGCGGGAACAAAACAAACATCGACAAGTTGTAGGAAAATAATTTATTGAAAAAAGTTCTGCAGCTGAGGTGAGCTGAGGTGCGGGTGCGAGGAGGTGGTGGTGGAGAGCTTCCTTCTTACAATAAAACGAAACGTAACAAATAGCAAGGACGTCTAGCGACTACTTATTATAACTAGGAGATATAAACATTGAAGTAGAAAACTTATGATATTATAAGAAGTAAATAAATTAATAAAACATTGTGGGCGTGTCTGTCGGAGAGGGAGACGGGAGTGCGGGGCGGGGCGTGTCTGTCGGAGAGGGAGACGGGAGTGCGGGGCGGGGCGTGTCTGTCGGAGAGGGAGACGGG